TCCATAGCACTTACGAACTTTCGCTATATGTATATGCAGTATTTCGATAGAGCGGAAGTCAGTGCGCGAGCATGCGCTTTGCCATATCTGGTTCAGTTACAGCTCACGTTTTAAACTCGGTTGCTATGAAGCGACACTAAGTGTACATGGCTTTTATAACTAAAATATCAGACAAACACATTAAAACAATACACATAAACTACACATAGTTGTTTTCCATAATAATATTTTGCATTTGAAACTGATAGTCAAACAAATATCTCAATATTCTTACCGATTTAATGTATTGTTTACATGTGAGTGTGTTAGATTACTTTCGGTTCAGAAAATTCATTTGTTTACCATCAAAACTCATATGTTTACCATAGGAACCAGATATAGATAGAAAGCAAATTATACACAGGTAAAGAAAAAATTGTCTGTTTCTGAACAAAAAATCGAATAAATAAATACAAAGTCTTTTTAAAGGGTCCCTTCTTCGAGTTCATTTGAAAGGGGAATAATTTGGTGGAATTTTAGACAGCGAAACAGGGAGTTATCATTCATGGCTAGGGAATATGGCCGACTGAAATCATGCAAGCAAGTTTGTAAGTGCATAGTAACCAGTTATTCCCCATAGCAACCAAGGCCTTTTCATGGCAACCAGTGCTTTCCATAGCAACCACTGTCTTTCCATGGCAACCACTTACTTTCCATAGCAACCAGTGATTTTCATAACAACCAGTGTCTTTCTATGGCAACCACTTACTTTCCATAGCAATCATTGATCAATATTGCAACCATTCACTTTCCATAGCAACCATTTACTTCCATAGCAACCACTTACTTTCCATAGCAACCAGTGATTTTCAAAGCAATCAGTGACATTTCATAGCAACCATTGACTGCATAAAACGACTGACTTCCCTAGCAGCCATTGATTTTTCATAGCACCCAGACTTTCCATAGCTAGTACTGAATTTCCATAGCAACCATTGACTTACATAGGAACAAAAACAACACCAGCCTTACATATCAACCATTGTCTTTCCATAGCAACCACTGTCTGCCATAGCAACCAGTGACTTCCCATAGCAACCATTGATTAACATAGCTAACATTAACTTTCCACACCAACCATAAACTTTTTTGTCAACCAGTGACTTCTTAGCAACCATTGCTTTTTCATGCGAACCACTGACTGCCAGTGCCTTTCTATGGCAACCATTACCAGTGACTACCCGAAACAACTATTGACTTCAAGTGTAAGCATTCACTTTCCATAGCAACCAGACTTCTTAAGCAACCATAAGAGTTTTCATAGCATCCATTGTCTTTTTCATAGCAACCATTGTTTTTCCATAACAACCACATAATTTCCATTGCAACCAGTGATTTTCTGCAGCAACCATTGACTTTTATAGCAAACATTGACTTCAAAAAGCATTTAGTGACTCTCGTAGCAACCATTGACTTTCTATAGCAACTGATGACTCCTTTAGCAAATGTTTGCTTTCCATAGCAACCTCTGACTTCAATAGCAACCACTGACTTCATAGCAGCCATTCACTTTTCTCGTAATTAGCTGTTAATTTTCATGGCAACCAGCCACTACCATTGTATTAACTTTCCATTGCTACGAGTGAATCTACCATTGAATTTCATAGCAGGCACTTACTTCCAAGGAAACCATTAATTTATATACAGCAACCAGCGTCTTTTAGTAACTATATGATACAAACTAATATGATCCAATTACTTCTGTATTAAAGAATTATAATCATTTTAGGAATGAATCTCAGGTGAGATCCAAGCTGGACCTTCTTATTTGATCTAAATCAAACTTGGTCAAAGGGTCAATAAAACATATCAGGAGGAGTTTAATAAGAAACTTTACAATAGATAACAAAAAGTAACCATCAGTTAAATAAATTTTATTCTTGATTATGGAAAACATGTATAAAAATATTTATATTTACAACAAATTTTTACCAGGTTTGATCTTAAATTGGTATATCAGAAGTACTGAAGCATTAAATGTAAATATTTTGACCTTAAAGTCAATCACACCAATGCTCTAAATATGATGCAAACTGAAGTATCCATGTTGTAGATAAACACTCTACAGTACTAACATCTTTAAAAAGTCCCTTAGCACTGCCCTTTATGTCGGGGAAAATTTTAATTTATTGTGTATCGCGACAGCACTTTAAAAAAAAATATTGAATGACAACTTTCAAGCTTTACTAAAAAGTCTTTTGAAAAAGTCATGTCAATAGTGCCCAAGTAGAACCAATGACCTTTGTTATGTATGCCTATAAGGCACATGGCAAAATCAAAATGAATTCTAAAGGCAAAAATATCAGTTCATTTCGAAGGATGACCAAACATTCTGAAATAAACAAACAACTTTCGATCATTATCAGATAATAACATTGTACTTGACACAACAAGTTATATGATACCAGTAACACAAATTTACAGACAATTACCACACCACAATCAACATTTAATTGGTTATTCTTATTTAATTAATCTATAACAAATCACAAATTAACAAATGATTGGCACTGCTTTATATTATATGGCTGGTTTTTCATACTGGAGTTTCTCCGCCAATTGTGTGTCCTAATAAACCACTGTCTGGGGCTGCGTCCCAAATAATCTTCTGTATCTCTCGGAAATTCGGATGATCTGATCCCCCGCACAATCCAAGTATTGCACTCTCACTAGTAGTTAAATGGGCACCAGCCTCTTTCATACGTTGCAATGCAAACATTCTAAAATTAAAGTAAAATAATAATATTGAGATACAACAGCCTCCTTTTGAAATTTACACAAATGTACAACTTAATACAATAGATAACGTAACAAGAGCTGTCGGTAGGACAGCAACGCTCGACTATTCTTAGTGCTTGATAGTAAAAAAAACCTTGATTAAAAGGTAAAATTTTCTCAGTAGAGAAAAAGGCAAATTTTTTCTTTAAATCCATATTACAGTTATAGGCCTTGGAGAGAGTCCTATTATGCTCTGAAAGAAGAGCATAAAATTTCAACATGTTTCAAAGCCTTATGTCAATGAACTTTGAAAATATTTGAGGTGTTACAAAAGTTTTAACGTAAATTTTAAGTCGAAAAAGGGGCATAATTCTGTCAAAATGCTTGATAGAGTTACCTCCTCCTGTCTTCAGGTTGGGGTCATGATGGTCAACAAGTGTGCAAAGTTTCAAAGCCATATGTCAATGGACTTTGAAAATATTCAAGGTATTACAAAATTTTTAACGTAAATTGTAAGTCGAAAAAGGGGCATAATTTTGTCAAAATGCTTGATAGAGTTACTTCCTCCTGTCTACAGGTTGGGGTCATGATGGTGAACAAGTGTGCAAAGTTTCAAAGCCATATGTAAATGGACTTTGAAAATATTTGAACTATTACAAAAACTTTAACATAAGTGGTTACGCCGACGCCGACGCTCGGGTGACTACAATAGCTCTACTTATTCTTATCGAATAGTCGAGCTAAAATAGGTGGAGCAAATGAAATTTGTTGAAATGCTAACATTGTGAAATTACACTAAACAAAAATGTTCTAAATTTAGAATATGCTAAAATAAAAATTATTGTGAAAATATATATATGATGTACACATTGTAAATATAGAGACATGGTTACAGATTTATAATGGCATTGTCAAAAGTTGTCATTTTTATACATGTTTTTTTTAAAAATTTGCAGTGTCATACATGTATGATAAATAATTGGAATTAACACCTGACTGCAAATATTTAAAGACCATGTAACTCATTTTTTTTTATTATAGTTTTATAACATAACTACGATGATGCTCAATTGAAGATTTATCAAAATTGTAAGTTCCAAAAAGCATTATTTGTAAAGATATTACCAAATTTACATTTCATGTTAATAAAGGGAGGGAATAAGAAATTTATTAAAGTCTAAGCCAAATTTTTCAATAAGTAATGAATGCATACACTCGGAGGCACTTATAACCAGACACTTACATTTTTCTGTATAAATAGGTTATTTGTGAACGGATTTTGTTCAAATTTGAACCATACAAAATTCAACATATCACACTTACTACTTAGAATTACATGTATTTATAATTCATTGATAAGAAAATATAAAAAATAACAAAACAAATAGGCTACTGTAAAATGAAAAATCACAGAATGACTGTAAAATCGTAACAAAATGAACAGTCTCTGAATCCCACTAAATCTGTATGTTTACCAGTTCTAAGACTTTTATGTCCTCCAAATTGGCTATAACAACGAATACTCCTCTGCCTCACAGTTCTATATGTCTAAACAAGGGCTTGCTTGAGTTCCAGCCAATTGCAAAGGACTTCTGGTCATTTTCTCCCACGCCTGTTCAATTCAGTTGACAAGTGTGATGTTTAGATAAGGAAGCCCTTATTCAGGAAAGGAGACATACTCTCCAAGCTTTAATAAGAAACTACGTCATAACCATTAGACAAGTGTATACACGTTGTTATAGCCATGGGAAGATACACAAAGTATTATAACTAGTTAACATACAGACATAGTGGGATTCAGACACTTTTCATTTTGTTATGACATTTACAGCCATTCTGTGATTTTTCATTTTGCAGTAGCACATTTGTTTTGTTGTTTTCTCTATTTTCTTGTCAATGAATTGTAAATAAAATTCTAAGTAGTAAGTATGATATGTTGAATTTTGTATGGTCCAAAGTTGAACAAAATCCGTTCCAAAATAACAAATATATACCGAAAAATGTATGTGTCCGGTTATAAGTGCCTCTGAGTGTATATTTAATGATTACTTGTAATACGTATAAACATTTGCAGTACATATTTAAAGTTACATTAAATAAATATGTAAAAATATTTTTGCCGCCGGCCTAAAAACCAAGCATTCTACAGTTTCATTAACCTTTTTAACAGTATAGTTATAAATATCATCAAATACTGTTCATAAATAAGGATTTTAAATGGAAAACCCCACGGTAACACTAAAGTTCGTATACGACTTTTAACATGCAAATGAAGACTATAATGAGCTCGTGTATGCGCTACTATAACACCGTGATGTAGCGCATCACGGTGTTATAGTAGCTATCCGGAACACAGCAAATATAAGATTTTCTTGTGCAAACACACTTTTACTGTTTAAGATTCATGGTGCACTAGGCCTGGGGTTCAGAAAAAATAATCATCTCATAAAAAAGGTTAAATTTGTATGAAAATATCCGTTACAATGCGGAAATATACCGTTAAATTAGGACTGCTACTTATAGTCATGTTTGTTGATTTAACATTAATGTACGGATGATCTGAAGGCGGAGTTTCTTATGCAAACAAAATTTGTATTTCCTAATTCGCCACAATGAGGTTGCACATTTGTATGCTCATAAAACTCATTTTGGTTGTCTGGACACCAAAATAAGACCTGGAATCGATATGAAACCCAATTTATTAATGAAATGTCGCTATTTCTGTTTTTATGAAATTTATTAAATGTAACTTTATCATATTCTTGGATATTTGGAAATTGTTTTAGAAGAATAATTATGTGCACATATAAAAATTAACTTATGTGTGGTTACTTTTACCTTAATTACAGGATCTTTAAACCTGTGGCCATGTAAGATGACTCAAGGTTTCTTTATTTCACTAGCTAGACTTGTCCCCCTTTGATTTTGGAACTGATCAGAAGTAAACAATGGAGCAGGCAACAGTGTCTAGTAAGACTGTGTAGATGATCACACTGGCCTTATGACTACACCTGTTATCATAATAACTTAATTATGTTCAAAGAGTAAGTGATACCAAACATTTTTTACCTGTCAACCATAGATCTTGACGAGACTGCATCTACAATAACGTTTACATCGTACCCCTTTTCCTTGAGATCTAAAACTGTAGACTGGACACAAACATGGGACTCTATCCCACACAGCATGATCGTGTTCACATCTGTAATACATTTTTATAACACATGCATTATTGAAGAAGTAAGGCAGCATCTTCTTTAATTTAATGACCTTTTTCTTTTGATAGAAAAGGAAGAAAACAAAGAAACCACATGACATGTCAATACTGGATTAATATGGACATTATTTTAATGAAGATCTAAAGGTTTGGAGCCCATCTAGTTCTTCACCACCCAGAATCTCTTTCCTTTGAACACAGAATCAGAATGGAAAGCATTATGTTCTGTTTTTGTGCCAAAAAATAAAATTCTAATATTACTCCCATTATTATCTTAGTAATCAATAACTTAGCTCACAAAAGAATTAAAGATATGATATGCTTAAATTTGACATAAGACAATATTTATAATTCACAGTCTTTTTATAAGTATAAAATAAACATGTTTTGACTTCACATACAGTAGATATGCTATCTTTTAAACTCTACACACTATAGGTGGTCACATTATGAATATAATTATAGTGTCATTAAAATAACTGGCAATTTTTTAAAGAAAAGAGCAACTTTACTTGACCTGTAAAAGGGAACGCAATTTTCCATACATAGTTTATTTGCTCTTTTATTCAAATTAGACATATTTAGCAAGAATTTCATAGATTTCAATAAATTTTTGTGATTAAAAAATATTACTCAAGGATGGGCATAGTATATCTTTAATATCTTTTTCTTTGAAACAGACAAAGCTTAAAGAGTTAAGCATTGTGAAATAGAAAACATACTTGGAAACTGTTTCATATGATCCACAACCTCTGGAATCATCATAGAGAACTTCATCTTTGGAAAAACTGGACACTTACTGACATCTAATTCTGACACTGTAGGACCAAGACCTAAAGAATATATACAGATAAGAGTCATTTGGCTAGTTTAATTCTGTGCATAATGTGGAAGTCATGTTAAAAGAAAATGCAGCAGTCTTTCTGATAAAATGCTGTCTGATTCCCAACTTCCATTGGGATTGGTCTAAGATTTTTTAGAGTTGTCACATAACTAGGAAAGAATCACGCTTGTGCATTTTTAAGGCATAATACTTGAATTAAATGGAACAAATGTTAACTTTTTGTGTTATTCTATCTTTCTTCCAATGTCAAAACCCTTGTGGGGATGTAGATGTGACTCTAGACTAGTCATTTCCGAGACAGCTATTAGATACAAGGGAATCCAGGAACCAGTCCCTAGCTCTTATTGAATAGACCCCTTAGTCCTTTTACATGCCCAGTGTTTAGCACTGATACATGCAAGGATTACCTGGATTTCTTACCAGAACACCTCTAGTTAGGCGGGAAACACTGAAAGTGTCTCTGAAAATTCCCAAGGGTGTTACCCAGGATCGAACCATGGACCTCAGGAGTGACAGCCAGTGGTCTAACCCAAAGGGATCCGACACACTTGGATGTGTTCATACATAGTGTAATTAACTTACACAAGCAATTTGAGAAAAATTATTGGGACAAAAATTTTATATTGAGAAGTTGAATTTATATTGAACGGTATTACATTGTGATATCCAGTGAAATGAAAAGGTTGAAAGTGATATTTGTTTAAATTGTGGACTGTTTTTCACAGACTGTCAGTGATAGGCTAATGTTTGAGTTAAATCCCTTGTTTCTTTATAAAATTTTTGTCCCAATAATTTTTCTCAAATTGCTTACGAGTGTAAGTTCATAACATTATGTATGTGTCCCCTTTGGTCTAACCAACTATTGCTGAATCTCACTTGTGTTTTTTTTTAAGAATTGAGACAAGTGTTTATCAGAAATTCACGAGATTTTCTTTAAGCATCGCCTATGTTACAATACTGCAAGACACGTGCATGACAGATTAAACCTAGATTTTGACATACAACAAATACTTTGAGACGCCCCCTAAGTAAACATGACCTTTTGGATACTGCTCTGTGACAACAACTGGTATATCTAAAATCTGCGAAGCTTGCAACATTCTTGAAGAAACAGTAAGAATTTGTGGGTAAAAAGATATTGTTTTCCGGAACTTTTCTTGCATGTCACACAGAAATAATGCCGAATTTTTAGTTGTAAGCCTGGCTAACTTGGACGCAGCCATTTTGTCTTTTTTTTCTTCTAGCTTTGCTGGGTAACTATTTTCGTATTTTTTAAGGTAGTTGAAAAAATAAAAGTTCACATATGCCTATAAACCTGATAAATTTGATAAAAGTTGGTTTTCATGATATGTTCATTTTGATTACTTTCAAAAGTTCAATTAATAAATTCGAATGTACCAGCTAGACTCTACTGATAATCAAAGGGCTGCAAGCTCTGTGTTTGCAATCTACGTACTAATTATTGTATTTATTTTCCTGTATAAGTTTATTTTTATACTATAATTCATCTTGCAGTGCACCGAGATGCAGCGACTGCGTTTAGATTTTTTACTATATAACAGTTTGAGTTTGATACATACGGAATTTTGCATAGGCACAGGCAGTCAGTGGTGGCTTGGATAGTATACATGTACATGACCACGCCCACTTATTTTCATAAATATTTTTTTTTTCACTGAAAAAAATATTTTTTTCACTAAAAAAATATTTCTTTCACTCAAAATGTTTTTAAAGCATCTAATTTTCAATAAAACAACGAAGTAAATTCGTTTTTTAAAATTTCATTCATAAATACTATAAATATATAGTATAGTATTATAGTATAGTATAGTATATTTATAGTATATATGGATGAAATTTTTAAAAACACATCTGCGGATGTTTCTAAATTCAAAAGTACACCATTTTTGTGTTTAAATGTTGAATTCTGTTTTAGCCGGTGCTAGGGGACGTGGACGGTAACTTGCACTTTACAGTACCGTCCATGACCAGGCTCAATCAACCCGAGCCTGCAATATTTTACAATTTTGCCGTGTTGGGTTTTTTTCGGGATTCTGTTTTTCTCTATTTCACCATCCGTCCGTCTTCCGGTATTTCTATTTTATTTGAAGGCAAGCTAGTTTCGATTTGTTAAATAAACTTGTTGCTGCTGTTGTTAACAGTCATACTCATTATGTTCATATACTTTAGTTTGTTTTTAATGTAGAATAGATACAGATTTGCTCTAGTCACTTTTATGATCAAAAAATTTTACTTCGTTTTTTGTTGTTGTTTTTTGTAGCTAATTAAGTACATTTTGTATTGCTTTCAACACCAAAATTTGCTCTAGTCTGATATATGATCAAAAGTATTTTTCATTTGTCTTTGTAAACCAGGGTAAAAATTTACATAATATTGTATTGTTTTTTATATTGTTTTGTTTGTTTTCAATACACAAGATACAAACTTGCACTAGTCAGCTGTACAATGAAAAGTACATGTAAATTTCTTTTAGTTTTTATATGCATATATATATATATGTGTGTGTTGTTTTGTTTGTTTTCAATTCAAAATATACAATGATGTCCTAGGCAGTTTCGTAAGATAAGAAGTAATTTTCTTCTTTTTCCATTAAGTTGTATTTGCATGGTAATCTGATGTTACTTGAAAACATTTTTAAAAGCTGTCTTTCTGATTTAATGTGCATAATATACTTTTTAGGATAATTTCTGCTTAACATGCGAAGTTTTACTTATTTATTTGTTTTGAATTATGTTCAACTTTACTTTCTTAGTGTTTTAAAATTTCTTTTTATGCACAAGATATACTTTAATATGTTGCCTGTAGTTAAACAGCTTTTAAAATTGTATATAAGCATTCTGTCTGACAAGTTTACAAGTCCTACAGGTTGTGATAAATTCAAATAGCCAAATAATTATGCCAAGTATTACTTCTGTTGTGTTTTACATGATCCAAATTTAAATGCAGCGCAGCTTGCTTGAGAGAATATGCCTATTAAAAGAATTAAAAGACCACTTGTGTTTAGAGACCACTTTTTTCAGTAATTGTGTTGTATTAAGTAGCCAGATGTAATTAATTACCTTTCTCTTAGGTGCATGCTCTCTTATCACTATTAAGTTACGCTGTATTGTTATTTGATCTCAATTTGTTTTAGTACTGTAGTATTGTATTATATCTTGTTTTCATTGTTAAAATTTGTCTGCTTGTTATCTTTTTTTTTTTACCAGCTATTGACAGATAAAGCGAACACCAATGAATTACAGTAAAATAAATGTAAACAAATTTATAAACAATTTTACAGTGTACATTGTGTTCTGTTAATGGCTTTTTTGTTGAAATTCAGACATGATATTGAGTAATAAACACTGATTCAAAGGTATTGTATTGTTTGATATCTTGTAGATAAAATAGTAAATAACTTACTGCTCCATCCATCACTTGTAGTTATTTGATTGAGTAATAAATTCTGATTCAAAGATTTGTTTGGTATTTTGTATATAAAACGACGTCTAAACAACAACAACAACAACACGTAAGGGGCCTCCGTAGCCGGGTGGTTAAGGTCGCTGACTTGAGATCACAGGTCCCTCGCCGCTGTAGGTTCGATCCTCACTCGGGTCGAAATCTTTCATGTGAGGAAGCCATCCAGCTGGCTTACGGAAGGTCGGTGGTTCTACCCAGGTGCCCGCTCGTGCCTGAAATAATGCCCGGAGGGGTACCTGGGGTCTTCCTCCACCAATAAAGCTGGAAAAAAATCGGCGAAAAATCTCGGCGGGACGCTCTAGGATGGCCCGACTTGAGTGTACGGTCGCCCATATGGGCTTTCCGGCGGCGACCTTAAATAAACGCATTAAAAAAAAAAAAACAAAAAAAAAACCAACAACACGTACAGTTGTCGGTTTTTTTTTTGTATCTTGTATATAAAATAGTAACTTATTGCTCCATCCATCACTTGTAGTTATTTGATTGAGTAATAAATTCTGATTCAAAGATTTGTTTGGTATTTTGTATATAAAACGACGCTTAAACAACAACAACACGTACAGTTGTTGGTTTTTTTTGTATCTTGTATATAAAATAGTAACTTACTGCTCCATCCATCACTTGTAGTTATTTCATTGTCTCATAAATGAGCAGCTCCTGTTTTGGCAAAATCTACATTTCAGTGCAGGAATGGCATCCATTATACCCAAGATATGAAAATAGGAATGAAGAAGCCCCTTGTAATGACTGTCCATATGGGTCCCATGTATACCCCAGTTCTGTAAACCATCACGGACCCATATGGATTTTCCTTATGGGACCCATATAGATAATCTATATGAGACCCTTAAAGGTCCCATATTGATACCCATATATGGGACCAATGTCAATCCCGGTTGCAAAACCTGTATGGGACCCATATAGGAAGCCCATGTGGGGTCCATATAGAAATCAATAAGGGCCCCCATATGGGTCCTGTCGTTAAACAGGTGACGCTAATCCAATTACTGGATTGTTTATTTGGTTATAAACGTGCACGTGCCTTCAATAAATAATTATAGTAAAGACTTCTTGCTTCGTCGGGCCCTTGTGGGTGATTTCTTGTTGCTCTGTCTTCCTTTAAGACATCGAGAACTTTTGTTACGGTCATTGGGTTTACTTTTATATGTTTCTACATTGTCTTGTTTATAGGAACATGGTGGGGCTAAAGGCGAGGTTTGTTGCGCCATTAACCGGTTTAAACTCCCAAGCAGTATTTATGCTGTTGACCGTTCCAAGGCGGCGCCCCTCTGTGTTCCTTAGATGTATGTCTATGTTGTTTCATACTGTTTTGGTGACACTTGTGTCCCTTGTTATTTTCTTGTCTACGGTAAGTATCTTCCCCTTTGCCCCTAGTTTTTATTTATTTAATTTATCCCCTCCCTTCCCCCGGTCTCCTATCCCCTTCCCCTGTGCCATTTGACTTTATGGGCCTATAGTTTAATCATTTATTTGTTTTCTTTTAGTTCCTTATCAATAACTAATTATTTGTGGTTTTGGTGGTTGGCCTGTCCGTGCCCTTGTGCCCTGTCCTGTTTTTGTTTGGGGGTCCTCTTGGGCTCCTTGCCGCTGGCTCTTGTTTCCGGGTCGGGTGGGGGTTGCGTTCATTGAACGCCGCCTTTCCTTGTTGATCTTGTTTATCATATCTTTTTTTTCATTTAATATAACAAGGCAATATTTAATAATAGCGATTTTGCATTATAATACTACTAAATAAAATCTTTTCTGAAATACAAATAGTCTATGATGCACGAATTTAACTACTGTCCCTCGGTATATAAATCATACGTTGGTGTCCGAAATAAAAGAAATTAATTAAAAAAAAACAACAACAAAATATTGTTTTGAATTAATTTTCCTATGAAAAACTTCATCAAAAATGGAAAAAATACGTGATATACTTAATTATTGCACATTGTCATAACGTACGTAATTTGAATGCTGGAAGTTAAAAATTTAACTTAGTAATATATTTAAATTATCATTCTTCTTTTCCGATTCAAATACATTTAACCTTATTCGAAACCTAAATTATTAAGATTTTACACCCTATATTTACAAGTTATTGTTTTGCCCGTCTCTCAATTAGTTATGGTTAGGAAAATGCCCGCCATGAAAAAAATGTCTAACTTAAAATGAGTATTTCTTAACCTTAAAATCAACCAATAATATATTTTTTGGTATCACTGAAAAGGTTATTGTTTTAATTAAGTATTATTTTGTAACAAAAATATGACGATTGTTAAAAAAACAAAGATCTTTGATGGGGCGCCGTGTTTTCCTTTCGAAAATGACAAAATGTTTTTGTGATTTCGTTTTCAAATGACAGCACCTAACAAAAATGTTGTCGTCGTGTGTTTTGACTAAGAGACAGTTTCTATTAATAGTCCAAGGTGTAAGTGACGGTATTCCAATTCATTGATGGGGGTTGCCTCAAAAATAACTTTAGCTGTCAAACTTTGACAAGACACTGTAAAAATTATTTTTCATTCTTTAATCACTTTGTTACATCGCAAATTGAGAAACCTGTTTTTACATCACAGAAATGTATTGATAATTAATATGCTAATCTTATATGCCCCCCCCCCCTTCACTCATGTTCATTAGGGCCTCCTTGACAATATCTATACTATGCTGCTTATTATGATGTTTTATAATATATGTGCACGGATAACAACATATCCTCCCTTTTCTTGGGGTTCTGGCCATGGAGAGACGCTTGTTTGAGGGTGATCATTTTCCTCACAATACACAGAAGCACCCATTTCCTAAAGGAACTGGCAAGGGTACGAGGTACATGACCAACAGGCAACCTGCTAAGTCTTTCAATGTTGATACCTGTCTTCATCATGCTGGCCTAGGTTCAAACCTATAAAATTGAGAAATGACTATGTTAACACAAGTTTATAGTAAAGGTTTTTAACTTTAATACATTGTGAAATCATTTATGAAAGGACCTCTGACATTCCATTTATTATTGGGACATAATATTAAATAATTTCTTTTTAAAAGTTAATGTTCTGTAGGTCTAACCCATGATTTTCAAGCATTTATATAGTTCACAACTTCACAATATACAGCAATATACTAGTTGTAATATGACTGTTAACATCGCAATACATAGCAATATAATACATGTATTTATTTGCAATACCCCCTAACTGGACACTTCCAAAATTAACTTTTTTTCATTTTTCGTTTATTACAAGATAGAAAGGAAAATGGCTAATTTTCCTAAAACAGCATCTTCAACCTGAAATACAATCGCAACTACTCGGCCCTTTCCGTCAGTCTTCGGATATAATTATAGATAATAGCCGAGGCAGTTCCGAATGCCTGAAATAAGCAAGTTTTCAAAAATTTAATTATCTGGCAATGAAATTTAACCACATAAAAAGTTTTTAAAGAATTTATCTTTATTTTTTCCATAAAATGTCACGTCTAATTTGTTTTGGCCATATATTGATCCCCTGAGGTGGTATCACAGATGAATTGGTCGACAATTACAAAGTTAGTATTATATATCATTACAAGAAACTCAAAGAATTGACATTACGCCAGAGAAGGGATCGCTCCGCCCACTGATTCACGTGACCCGGTCAGTAAGAACCTTAGACAAAATACGCTACCGATGTTTTTGCAAAGCTGTTGTGCCAATAATGTTACCAATGAATTTACCTTATATAAATTTTGTAAATATAAACTTTTGATGCTTTTAATGGTTTTATTGAATAGTAGATCTGTAATTCAATGTATAAATGTATTACGGTATTTTTAAAAATTAAAAAAAAATCTGTATTTACGCATTAATGACGCATGAAACGTTTTGCAAAGATGGTGTTATTTCTTGTTGACTTCAAATGAAAATTTAAAACTGACAAAATATCATTATATCTTACAAATTCAAAGAGAGACTATAATTATGTAGAAATTAACGTATATGATTATGTTATGATTGTTTTATTTTGAAATTGAAGTAGCGAAACATAAAATCATGGAACTAAATATAAATTGTTTATATATCTGTGATAAAACAGTAAAGTTATATTAGTGACACAAATAAATTTAAAAGATGAATAATGAAATAGAATTAATTGTCATGGATGAGAAATATTACTTTTTTTTAAATGCCCAATTTTAGGATGCGGTATTGTTTTATGTAAGATTATAAATAATTTCAATATTTTGTTTGTATATTCTTGAAGCTTTCATTCTATATACTGTAAAGAAATTGAGAATTGATTAATAAATAAAGAAATTAAAGGGGGCGCCGTGTTTTTCTCTTCGGATTTTATGGTGCGTTTTTGTTTTTGAAAAAGTGGTAAATTTTAAAAGGACAGAAATAACATTTCTACTCAATTTATTTTAATTATAAAGACATCTCTAGAAAGCTTATTAAGTAATCTTTAATTTGATACCAAAATTATTAAAATTGGTTAGGAAATAAAGAAGTTAGTAGGGGCGCCGTACTTTCCATAAGTTTGAGAGAGGCGTACGTCGGGTTTAATACCTGTCCTAAATAACCAATGAATAAAGCCGTAACAATTTAACTTAGGCATGAACGACAAAATGCACAAACTCCTCGCAGCGGTTACTTCCCCTGATCTGTACAGTAACAAAGCGTGACGTAACCGCTGTGAGGAGTTTGCATTTTAACTCCTCGCAGCGGTTCCTTCCCCTGATCTGTACAGTAGCAAAGCGTGACGTAACCGCTGTGAGGAGTTTGCAGCGGTTACGTCACGCTTTGTTACTGTACAGATCAGGGGAAGTAACCGCTGCGAGGAGTTTGGACAAAATGGGGATGTACTATTCTCCGGTCTCCTATCGGTAAATCCCGGTCTCTCCCGGTCTATTTTGACCGGATTTTACTAGAGACCGGCGAATAGTATCACACGTTTATTTTCCGGTCTCTCCCGGTTTAGGAATAGATATTTTATTTGATTTCGTGACAAATAAATAAGTTTTTTTTTCTCCAAAATTGAATGTTTGTCACTAATTAAGTTTGGTTACAATAATTAGTTAACACAGATCATTTCTCAAATTGATTTATTAATTAGATCTATTATTAGATCTGTTATAACTATACATAAACTTTCAATTCTAAAAATAATAATAACATTTTCATTTTATTTATGTATGATAAAAACAATAAATACATACAATCATTGAATAAAAGGGTACATTTTTTTATGGTATTGATAAATCATTTTATTTAATTTCCTATTCGCGTTTAGTAAAGAGAGTCTAAGTTAAAAAATAGATTTTATGAATTATTTAATTGATTGATATTTTTTTTTTTATAATAATAATAAATAAATGGTTTAAGGTTAATGAATATAATATTTTGAAATATTAATCATAATTTACTGACTTTTTTCAGTTAATTTTAGATAATTTTCATAATCGTTGGTCAACATGACAATTGAATTTTTATAATTTATATAATAAAAAATAGTAATAAACGTAATAAGTCAGTATTGAAAAAGCACATAAAACACTTAAAAAAAAGAAAACATTTTTCATAAAAGATGAAGAAATGGACATATTAAAACAGATAAGACAATTACTGTATTTTAAAACAATAATGCTCAACATGATCAACATGGTAATTTTATCAGTGTCATATTTTTACTAAGTGTGAACAGATATCTGATGGAGACTTCGCTAATAGAGATTACATAATAAGGAACAATAAACAAGTGTGGTGTTGATCATGCGATACACAAATAGTTTAAGAATGATTATATATGTCCGTTGCCATTGATAATCACGATATTACATTGATGAACATAAAAAACTAACAATTTAAGTATAAATTAAAATTCTATAATTTAAAAGAGAAGACTGTTGCATAATTTGTTTTGGACAAAATCGGCATTACATATCGTCAATCATTTATAATTTTAACAACAACACAGAACATATATACATCAACATTATGCACAAAAAGCAATTATAAATAATGACATACATATCTTATATACATATAATATAACATTATAAATGTATTTTATCGTTTACAAAATGTAAACAAAAAACGCAATGTAACCTGATAATGATAATGTTTTATTCATATAACGAAATATTTAATTAAAAAACAATACAATGCAATACAACAACAACAAAAAACAAGAGCATAAAAGTCAATTAATTAATATCTTTGAAATTATTTTTTATATATTTATTTATTTAGTTAGCTATACTTATTTTGTTATTTCCAACTTTTTCATCTTATACTTATTTTTGCCTCCTATTCATCTTTTTATTCACTTGTTATTTTTTTATATTTAGTGCATTCCCAAGAGAAGTTTTCAAGCGATTTTCTTATATTCTTTTTGTTTCCAACACATCTATGATGATACCATTTTCTACATGTTCTGATACCACAATAAATTAGATTGTCTACAAACTCGGGCATTTCACATGAACAGAAAGTTTTAATTTTAAATATTTTAGGGATGCCTGTTCAATACAACTAATATGAGGTTACATCTATTAAATTTCTTTTACTGTTTGATCTCAATGAAGATAATAAAACAAAAATACTATTTATTTACCATTTAATTGTTTAATATTTCTATTTGAATTATTTTTATCTTTTTAGATATTGCCATCATTTGCTGTATATTTTCTATTTACAGGTCGGATTATTTTTTTCTTTGATCTATATTAGTCGTTATAATATTAATGCTGCACTTATTTATCAAATAATGAAAAAAATACAAACCGCTTTAAAATTAAACAATTTACAGACTCCCCCGTAATTAATATGCTTTTTCATTTACAACATCACGTGAATTAATATATCTTTTCCCGTTTTACGCTTTTACATTTTTATCTATAATTAAAAACAACAAAAAACACAAAATAAAAACGATTTATATGAAACAAAATACATTATATACGGAAAAATATCTTATATCAACACATCTACAAAGATCTAATAATGTTTAGAAGACCGGCACTGACCGGGCTAGTAAATATGATGCTATTCGCCGGTCTTTCGTAAATTCCGGTCAAAATAGACCGGGAGAGACCGGAGACCGGAAGCGACCGGACCGGAGAATAGTACATCCCGACAAAATGGCTGCGCCCATGAAATCAAATTACTTCCCTTAACAGAATTGTAATCTCTGTACTGATAACGGGAGATCACTGCGTTGGAGTGCCATGAAATAACGATGTAAGCAAAAACCAAAAGAATTTAAGTTACATGTAAATATGCAAACTATTATTAATACACGAATTTATGTATGAACCAGTGTAGGCCCTTAAGTGAAAATCGAATATGAAACCGAAAGTAAACGTATTTGTATGTTATAAGCTTTGAATTTCTTTAAACAGTTAAATTATTTTAATTATTGTGTTGGTTTTATCTGCTTATTGAAACCGTGACTTAGAATTTGTTTACTAATCAGCAGTTGTTTACTAATCAGCAGTGCCATATAGTTTAAGGTTGCACAGTACTAACTAAATTTAATTGAGTAGTCGAAGTAAGACTTTTACGCCCCCTTATCAGTCCCAACCCTGACATTTCCTCTCTGACTGTTCACCTCCTATTTTGGAGGAGAACTGTCTACATATGTGCAGACTGTTCCTCACCATTTTATATCTTTAACCACTTAATTAGCTATTTGCACAAATGAATGCAGTGTTCGAAATTAGCAGTAGTCCTATACTATAGCCCCTGACTACTAAATTTCTCCTCGGGCTACCAACTTTTCACAGTAACAAGCCCGACTAGGCTACTGATTTTTCAGAGGCAATATAAACAACTGTTTTGAACAAATGAATCGTGCTAGTGAAATGTCTTTTGGGCTAGCGAATATTCCAATCTGGTAGTCCCATCAGCCTAGTGGATTCAAATCCTAATTTCTTACACTGTGAATGGAGTTGATTTATTAATTTTAATATCACTAAACCTTAGGGTGTATCAGTTAATGACAAACACTCAACCAAAGAAATCTTTCACAATGTCAATGTCAACAATGTCTTGTTGATTGAATTAAAATAGCTGAAAAAAAAGGTGTTAAAAAGTATAGATACTTTTCTTGACATATCAATTTAAAACAATGGAAGTGGCTAGCCGTAGGGGCCCATACCGCTAGCCAAAAGTTCTAGCCGTACGTGAGTCATGTATGGCTAGCCAAGACACAATGTATTGGCTAGCTGAAGGGCACTTTTCAAAATTATACGAAAGTCAAAAATGCATATTTTATTTTATGACTTTATTTTTTTAAAGCAAGGATTTAACCATGAAACAGCAATTGTCTTTGTATGTTTACCTTTTAGAAATTAATCCTATGTTGGCTACTGTAAAGAAAGTATGAATTAGGGCTGTCGTTGATGGAAAATTTTGTATCAATATATTGAGAGACAAATATCTACAATATATGGATACATCAACTTTGACAGAGTTTAAAGTTTAAGTTAGCCCAGAAAACTGGAAAAAGTGACTTCTCTAATTAGGTTAAATAGAGAGGTATATTCAATAACAGAAATAAATAAATTTTAGCTTGTGCCAATTTTTGAATGTGTGTTTCGATATTGTATCGGATGATGAATTTCGATGATATATCAGTATTGCAATATTCAATGACAGCCCTAGTAGGAATATCGTGCTTTGTCATCTCCAGAAAAAGAAGAGCATTAAATTTGGTTGCAGTTGAATAACATCAATTGAAATAGTTTACAAAATTGTGATAATAATCCTTTTTTGTTTTAATAAGTTTAATTTTCAACACCTTTAAAAATGAAAAAAGCACTGAAAATAATTGTTGTTTGGCTCTGATAATTGTTTGTCCATCATTAAGGAAAGTTTGCATTCTAAAATACTATTGTCAGTCCCTGGATAGGCTTTAATTAAGGTTAATTGATTGTGCTTTTATGTTCAATATTTATCTACTACATTTAAAAATTATACAATTGTTTTTGCTTTTCTCCGTTTTTTTTTTTTTCAATGTTCTGTTATTTTTTTATTTATTCCATCCGGATCATGTTGTTATGAAACAAGCTTCTTTTGCCATTATTTATTCCATGTGCTTAATCAACAAAAAATTATTTAATAATTCATTTTTCATACAAAAAACAACAAATCATTTATAAGCATGAGAAACAACAACGTTATAACTTATAGCATAACTATTTATAATTTAATCACAAAATATAACTTTGCATACACATATACAATGTATGTTGTATAATGCGTAACTAACTCTTCACACTTTTAGCAAGATTACAACACTTTCATTACCTTCATATTAATACTTTTTTGTTTACAAAATGGCAGAGCATCTTTATTAAAGTGAACACAGAAGGACAAATGCAGCTACTTGGTTAAAATTCTCACTAAAAGAAATAAAATAACATATGCATAATCCATTTAATCATGGCATTTTCAACTTTCATATAACTTTGAAAAGTGCCATACAATACAGTGTGTCCTTGCTAGTCGTATGTGACTCATATATGGCTAGAACTTTTAAGCAGGTTCTCTAGGTATATTTTTAGCTTGACTATTCGATAAGAATAAGTAGAGCTATCGTAGTCACCCGAGCGTCGGCGTAACCACTTATGTTAAAGTTTCTGTAATACCTCAAATATTTTCAAAATCCGTTGACATATGGCTTTGAAACTTTGCACACTGTCTTGTTCACCATCATGACCCCAACCTGTAGGCAGGAGGAGGTAACTGTATCAAGCATTTTGACAGAATTATGCCCCTTTTTCGAATTTACGTTAAAGTTTTTAGGACAATGGGATCAAAAACCAACACAAATTTAAGTATCAAAACATGTTTCGCTTTATTCAGCTTCCTCAGTTGATACATAAAGGAAATGACGTAAACGTACAAAACAGACTTCTACGTAATTAGACGTCACATTTGGCGCGTAAAAGAAACGTTATAATATTACAATAAGATAAAGTTTTTGTAACACCTAAAATATTTTCATTGTCCATTGACATATGGCTTTGAAACTTTGCACACTTGTTGACCATCATGACCCCAACCTGTAAACAGGAGGAGATAACTGTATCAAGCATTTTGACAGAATTATGCTCCTTTTTCAACTTCAATTTACATTTAAGTTTGCATACCACCTCAGATATCTTCATATTCTACTCTTCTTTGAGAGCATAATGGGACTCTTTCCAAGGCCTATAACTATTCGAGGATTTAAAGAAAAACTTAAAGAAAAACTTTGCCCTTTTATTAACTAAATTTTTCATTATCAAGGCTCTTTTACTATCAAGCACTAAGAAAAGTCTAGCTTTGCAGTCCTACCCACAGCTCTTGTTGTTGGATGTAGTGCCAAACACATTCATTGAAATAATTTTCATTAAGAAATCTGTGATGCTTAGATCTTGACTAACTTTCAGTAACTTGATTGAAAAAAGTAAAATAATATGCATACATGTGTTAGACATATTATTGATGTGTGGCACACAAGAATCAGGTCCTTAGCACATTTTGGAGATGTCAAAGAAATCATTTTACACAAACCTTGGAAAAATATTCATACATTATTTAATAAAAAAAAAACCCACCTAAGTCAAGCCTCTTAAAATTACTATAATATGTAATACTGTACTGTGCGTAACCATTTATCAAGAGACTACATGTAGTAATGACCTCATGTTACACAGCAGCTAGTACTAGGCCAAGTTTTTACCTACACATAATTTCATGGGAAAATTTATAATTCACTTGTTTAAATGCCCATGCTTGAAGAAATTGACAGCCGAATAAGAAATTATAGTTGGGTGCTTCATTTGTTATGAGTAGTTTCTGATTTCACTGTTTAGAGTCATGATTAACAAGTTATGAGAATTGCACACGCTGTATATTCCCCATTCCATGTTTGTTTATATACTTAGACTAGCTTATAGAACATCAGTGGTTAAACTCAGATGCTCACTCATGCGTAAAATTATGCACAGAGAGGCACCTTAGTTCTTTCTTGACCAGTAAATGTGAAAAGTCGACATTTGACCTTCACCATGTATATGTTAGTGTTCATCCGTGCTGTTCTACAGAAATTAGAAATTTCGACGGGAGCGATAGCGACAGGAGAATGTTTCTAATTTCTGTAGAACAACTACGGATGAATACTAACATACTTAGTGTCAAGCTTTATTTTGCCTCATTATTATTCACTTAATTACGTCACTACGCGGTTCTATGAAGTACTATGAAAAATAGAAGGCGACTATGAACGAAATTCAATACAGTATCGACTTTTGTTCTTCTATGAAAATTAACGCACAAAATTTTTAAGAAATACAGCGTTTTCATTGGATGACAAATAAAGCTGGACACTAAGTTGGTACAAAGTAAAACCCAACCAAAAGAAAAAATTATAATTATATACATGTATACTTAAATTTTCAGTAGACTGTTGGTGCATTACTTGTAGATTATTTTACCATTTGCAAAAATTATTTATTGTACATTTAACTGACATTTAAAATAAATTCATTGTATCTCTTTAGTAGATATGAAGCAATGGAGATTGTATAGAAATTTCTACCTCAATGATTAGATATACAACACGGAAAATCAAGAAGAAATTTGGTATGTACTAGTACTTGTTTTATGTAGAAGTGGCACAATTGTTTTCTCTCTTACGGTAATTGGAAAATGGTCTTAGCCTCTTAATTTTGGGAAAGATTATCACTAAAATTGCTAATTTTGGAAGTAAAAAACCTGGGGCATGTTCAGATTTTTGGGAAAACTGCATGATTTTAAAGAAAATTTCTATTGGGAAGAGGCCTTTTATAGGCCTGTGTTATATAAAGAGGAAAATCACTGGTGGCAGTGTATGTTTATCTCTCATACCAACCTTCTATGTGCTTTGATCAGTAAGTATCTCAGGGCAACTTTTGTTTCACTTTGACCTTCATATAAAGGCATGATTCTAGGCACCTGTGTATTGGTGACAGATCAAGTATGTAACAATTGTTTATGAATGTTTGTAATTCAATTTCACCAGCTCAGCTGATTCAGATCAAGAGGAAAAGGACTAATAGATCTGAAGTTTTTATGCTGCCAATCGGTACATTTTACATTGTACCATTGGTCCTGCATGTGAAATATTCTTAACCTGTTAATTTATTCTTATTTCATTATTATATTCAGTTTGTTTAATACTGGTATAAATACTGGTAAAGTTAACGAAAACTCATATTTACATAATATTATATTGTACCCCGTAACCCGCACTTCTTTTTCATGTTTCAGGGCTAAAGATGGCTCCACTTGTCATAATTTTACTGTTTTTCCTAAATACACTATACACATCTAAAACACAGACAGTTCATCACACCAACTTTGTCATAGTAGGGGGCACTGGTGATTTGGCTAGGAAATATCTATGGGGCAGTGCTTTGACACTGTTTGTTGAGAACTACAATGAAAATCGAACATTTTCGTTCTTTGCTGGAGCCAGAGTTTCTCAAACAGATGGTGAAAAAGGCCTGATCGAAATATTGCATGGCAACAAATGTGAAAAAAATGATGCAAAATGTGAAAAACTGAGGCCTAAATTTATTGAAAATGTGAAATATGTGATGCTGAAATATGATGAAAATTACACCGAACTGTGTGAAAAATTTCGGACAGACGATAGAACAAAAATATCAACACATCAAATATTTTACTTGTCTATACCGTCAGCTGCCTATCAGAGTGCCTCTCATAGTATACATACCCATTGCCGTCATGAAAAAATCAGCTCAACAAAAGTTGTGCTAGAGAAACCATTTGGACTGAACAAAGAAACTGCGGCCAAACAAGCTGATGTTATAAGTGAACATTTTCGAGATGATGAAGTACATAGAGTAGATCATTATCTCGCAAAATCTGTCTCTAAACAGATCTTAAACTTCAGGTAAAAGAAACAAATAAGTATTCAAGCTGAATATTACGCCAACTAGACAGCTAGTTTGTTTTTTTTCCAGTTAATATTTAATTGCTGGGCTAAAAGTTTTTGCAACACTATCAGTGTTACCTCCACTGTAACTGTTTAACTTCAATTTCATAAAATAAGGACATTTCATAAAATAATGACCTATATTAAAATAGATATACATTAAAAAATTATACATTTTCATTTTTAAGAAGTTTAAGTGACTCCACTGAGGTTTTTTGACATTAATAAGGGACTGGAAATAATTGTTCAAGAATAATGTCTCATTTGATGTAAGTCTAGACCAATAACTTGTATGCAAAATTTCAGGTCATTCTCTCACCTTGTTTTTCCTAATAAATTATTCTAATTTTGAAAATGAATCAAAGTTAAAAAGTGTTGTAACACTTTTCACTCATCGGGATAGCACAAAAATACAAATTTCAATTTATTTAGTATATTTCTTAATTAATCTTTTGTACATCTTTCTGTTTAAACCCTAGCTGATCTATGTAAGAAATTCAAGTGTTATGTCTTTAGGCTTTTTGACCTCAGTGGAGTTCCTTAAATTGACAGTCAGAGAAAAAATATACTTTCACTCTTATGCTCTTAAACTTTATTTAAAGTTTATTAGCTCCAATAAAATATACTAAATATTTATTTGCAGACATTTGATAATCCATGGAATGCAAGCTATATTAATAACTAGCCTGTACTGTTACCATGATATAATTGTTTTTATTTTTCAGAGCTAAAAATAGAGAAGAACTTGATAAACTGCTTAATGGACAGTTTGTAGACAGAGTTGAGATTGTCATGAAGGAGAGAATTGGAAATAAAGGTATTGCTGAAATTTCTGGAAATTTTTTCATGATAAAGAAAGAGGTCAGTTCTTAACTTCATAAAAGGCTTTTAAGAGGAAGAATTTATAACCATTTAGATATTGTTAAAGGTTTATACACTTACATGCTGCAGCATTGCATTTCTGATTTAGGGTAAATAACATTTAATTTTACAATTCAAAACTACATGTATTTTTACTAAATGATAGAAATGTGTTTTATACATACTTGGACTTCTTTTTACCCTTAAATTTGGTTCACCTAAAGAAATTTGAAAGGTAGATATGAAACCTTGTTACCTATACTTTGTTAATGTTACAGAATATTCTATGCTTCAAACATCTTCTTGGCCAATTAGTTAAGGAGACGGACTTCAAATCAGTAGCCACTCAGCACTGTGAATTTCAGTCCCTCAGAGACTTGATTCTTTTATGTGAGTAATAATTATCCTATGTATTAAATTGAAGCTTTTCGTACCTTGTCCCCTTATATTTTAGGACGGCTAGATTTCTATGACCAGACAGGTGTCATTAGAGATGTCATGCAGAATCATCTTACAGAGTTAGTTGCCCTTGTTGCTATGGAGCTGCCTTTCAACGTTTCCGATTATAGGATGATTGAAGAATACAAACTGACTTTGTTACAACAAATAAAACCAGTAGGCAGGGATGCTTTATTGCTTGGACAGTATTCAAGATATATGGAAGAGGCAAGAAATGAAATAAAGAATATTGACCAATCACATCTCACTCCAACATTTGCTGCTGCACTACTGCAAATTAATAATCCAAGATGGCGTAGGGGTCCCTTTTATTCTTGATGTCTGGTAAGCATATGGATTGAGCGTTCAAAGTCACATCAGGATACTGTTTAGGGAAAAAGAGTTTTGTGTCAGTGGTTGTGCAGATGGAAATTCAAGTTTTTACCAAATATCCAAGGCAGTTGGTATTCCAGATTGGGGACACGGTCCCAGTTCCATCTGCAGGAATACTTGTTTCCCAAGTCTCTTTTTAAATCCAATCATGGCCTGATAGTATGAAAGAACTCCCCATGAACCTGCAAGACAGCGCTATTCATGGGACAAAAGTCCTGGAGATTTTCATTATGCTGTTCCGGTAAAAAGACACGCCAGCTTATACAATGGTCAATTCATGATCTTTTACCATAACATCAAAGAAACATTTGTCACTAAGACTAGAATGTTACTGCTGTGGGATTAAATTTGGGATGCAGTTATACAAGAAACTATCATAACACACCAAGGCTGTACAAGGAATATAGTCCTGAAAAATCTGAAACTTTTACTGTAGACGGCTTTAAGTTAGATATATGGATCAAAGTCATTCCATGTATGCAAAAAAATATTGATTTGAACCTGCTATCAAAAGTATGGCAGTAATTCCCCCATTATTTAGAAATAAAACTTTATTTGTAAACCCCTAAAAGCTTTGATAAATGCCCTAGCTTCATACATCTTTAGAAATGCAGAAAGTTCTATTAGAGAAAGAAAAATATTTTCATATCGCTTTTTCTGGTGGTAACACACCTATTATTTTGTTTAAAGGAATACTTAGCAGTTTTCCAATGTTTCCATGGGAGGAAAACTCATGTTTTTGGCAAGTAGACGAACGGTGTGTTTCACAGAAGCATAAACAGTCTAATTTTTTCTCTCTACATGAAAATTTAATCAAATTTACTACTATACCATATTTTAATATTCATCCAATGCCCGTGAGCTTTGCAGGAAAAATCTGTGCAGTTGAAAACAAGGGAAGTAATTTATATGAAGATATGATAAGTCATTCAATTCAAGCTCAAAAATTTGATCTCATATTGTTGGGCCTAGGCACAGATGGCATACTGCTTCTTTTATTTCCAGGATATATCCAGCTAAAAAAGTTGAAAGACTTGTAGCACTAACCAAAATCAAAAATTGAAGGAAGTTTTGATAGAATGAGTTTTTAACCTCCCCTTATTAATAAAGCAAGGGAGGTTACTGTTTTAGTTACAGGGAAGGAAAAGCATAGTATTCTACAGGCCAATTTCAGACATAAAATTTAACAAATAAACAATATCTATAACTCACGTCTCACCAGTTTCGGGCAACATATCTTGGTTTATAGACAATGGATGGCATGGTTAGGGCATTGAGAATTGTTGAATAAATGCATGGATAGAGAATGAGCACTGGTCACTAATTTCTGCCCCCCTTCAAAGAAGTGGAGGTATATTGCTTTGCATTTGTCTGTTGGGGGGTCCCCCGGGGTCCTGGGACCAAATGGTTTCCCGGATAAATTTAACCCAAAAAGATACCCTCAGGCCAAAGGGAAACTTCAAATTTGGGTTTATGGGGGTTTGGGGCCCATGACCAGTAAAATGCCCCCCTATTGTTTTTGGGGAAGTCAAAGGGAAAGGGGCCCAAATTGACCGTGAAGGAAAAAAGGGTTTTTGGGACCCCAATAACTAAAGAACGCTTTGGGGGCCAAGGAATTTCAACTTGGTATGGGGTTTGGGTTTTGGGGGCAAAAAAATTGACCCCCTATTGTTTTTGGGTTTTTAAGGGTCAAAGGTAAAGGGTTTCATATTTAAACTTGAAAATTCGTTCCCAAAAGAACGTTGGGGCCTAAAACTTTGAACTTAAATAGGGGGGAAGGGTTTTTAATAAACCAGTGTTTGACCTCTATCGTTTTTGGGTAAAAGGGGTCAAAGGCCCAAGGTCACATTGCCCTTTGTAGAAAAAAAGGGGTTTTTGACAATAAATAAAGAATGCTTCCCTGGGGAATTTTCAAATTGGTAAAATGTTTTTTTTGGGGAAAATAGATGCCCCCTATTGATTTTGGGGGAGTTAAAAGGGGTTAAAAAGGGTCGGGGGTCAAAATTTGGCTTTGTAGGAAAAAACGTTTTCTGATAAAATAACTTGACAACCCTGGGCTTTGGCCCTAAAACTACAAAAGTACATTAATTTTAAACCCAAAGTTGAGGGCCCCCCTATTAAATTTAAGGGTAAAAGGGTTCAAAGTCACTTTTGCCCTTTTTATTTTAAAATGATTTGTTTACCAATCCCCATTTTAAATTTTTTTGGGTCATTTGGTCAAAAATTTTATCACATTAACCTGACCACATGACTTATTGATTGCTGATAGGAGGCATACATGTTTTACAAACAAACCATAATATTCCTATTAAACGCCCCCGGGGGCTAAATATTTTCAAAAAGGGGGGGGGGGCTATTATTACAACACAGTTTTTCCTAAATCCAAAAATCATTGTAAATACATTTAGTGTTAGGAAGTGTTGGTAATAATGTTAAAAAGTGTTAAGATTTTAAAGTTCATACTATAAAATAAAATGGATTCTGAATGATTTGATTTACTCATGAGTTCAGCACTGATGAGTAGATTGTTTTTCTTATCAAAAGGCCTTTATATGGGGAGGGGCATTTATTAGGAATTTTACGGTATCATTTTCACAGCAACCTTTTTTGCTTTCTTGTTTTTAGTTTTTTATGATGGCAGTGTGGCTGTCGTTAGTAGTCCATCGTTGTCCACATTTTCTTTAAACAACATGTTCTCCTCACTTGTTGGACTTTGACCAAACTTTACAGGTGATCCTCAGAGTTATATAAATGGTTCCAGTCTGATGCAGAAGTAAGTCACATGAGCTAAAATAGACTTTAAAAATGAGATCTTTAAAAATCTTTTTAGATTACAAAGCCCAGAGCCTTGATAGTTGGCCTGTAGCATCACCTTGTGGTCCTCTACAAAATTTTATAAATCATGCCCCTGGGGTAAAAAATGACCTTTTCCTATGGGTCACTTAGTTTACATGGGCTTACATAGGAAAATACAGTCAAGTCTTCTTATATCAAACTAGCATCACTTTGTGGTTTTATACTAAAGCTATAAAAATCTTGCCATTGGGGTCAAAATTGGCCCCACCTTAGCAATGTATCTCAGGTGAGCAATCCATGACCAATAGCTCTATTGTTGTTGTCAGTTTTAGTTATTTAATTTAGTATACTTGTTATGACTTTGGATTATTTAATTTTTGTGGCATTTTTATCATCTGTGTGGTTTAAGGATGGAGTAAAAATCATAGATATCTCAACTCATTTTCATTTTCTACCATAAAAGCAAAGGTTTTATAATATCAATTATATTAAGTGAAAAAAAGTCATTATAAAGTATCCATCTTAGATCTAGTGATTCTTTAGAAATTTCCAATGGCAAAATCAATTTTTGAAATTAATAATTAAAGTAATAACTAGAGTTCTTTCAAGTAGGAAATATTTTTAAGATTTTCTGAATATAACTAACTTATATGGTGCACCTTGAACCTCAATTTGCATATTTTTTATGATCCGATGACAGTTATCCTTTTTTATTTGATTAGTCATTTTGGCAGACTTTTCCTTAAGTTTCCTTTATGACGAAACCCTGGGAATAACAGAGTTAAACCACTTTTATTATATTAAAAATCCAAAGTTTATTACTTCAAAGTCCAATTTTTCGAATGATTACATAAATAACATTTTTACAACATTATAAAAATAAATCATTATAAAGAATACAATATTTGAATTAACAATAGTTTGATCTTTTAATTAACAAATATGGGGAAAATTAGCTTTATTAATAACTCACTTTGCATAAGAGGTACCATTTTAACAATTCAAATAATTATAGTAATTACTATTACAATAGTACCTACAAATAATAATATCAATTTACATATTTAGAATAGATTGTATAAACTTTAAATGAATTATGAAATATAATAAAAAGTACATACCTGGAATAACAGAGTTAACACTTTATATATTAAAAAATCCAGTTTATTACTTCAAAAACGTCCAATTTTCGAATGATACTGAGACAGTTGAAGCTGGAAGTTTTGTTCAAACTCTGTTAAACCATATGCAAATTAAACATTAATGTATAAAATGTCCTAAAGAAAAGGAAAACATTAGGATGATTTCCTGCAAAAGTAACCTATTTTTGTTTAAACCATATATTTAGGCATTTAGATAAAGATAGAAAAGAAAGGAGTAAGCTGACTGCTTATCAAGACTTGTTTGTTTAAGTGCTAATTGTCACTTATTGTAGCTTGGCTGTAAAGCTTGATGTAAGTTACTTTAACAAGTCTTTGTTAGACAGCTTACATAAAATAAAACGTAAATGAAAAACACTATTTTTAAGTAAAATTGTAACTATTTTAAAGTTACCAAAATGGCAAAATAAAACTATTATATTTGAAATCTACATTTAGAAACAAAGATTTTGATATAAAATATGAAATATCTATTTTAAAAATAAACATAATGTAAACATATGGATTATAATAGTTCCTCTCTTGTTCTTTTACTTTGGACCCCAAAGTTGAATTTATTTATTTTTCAAAAATATGGGTCATAAAAAGATTTTTTGATTTTTTTTTTTATATATTTTTTTTAACTACTCACTAAAGTATTTACATTATAACATATACTCAAGGTATTATCAGAAAAATATACATATGTAAACATTGATACACACATCTTGGATAAAGACAAAAATTTTAAACATTGAGCTCAATAAGATTAGTATTAGGGACTTGTGTCAACCTTTATTGTTATTTGCTAGCTTCTATTAGTAGGACTTGTGTCAACTGGAAGACGGACAAAACCCCACCAGTTAAAACCCCACCACTCAAAATTTTATAGAGTGGACAAAACCCCACCACTAAATTTTATAGAGTGGACAAAACCCCACCACTAAATTTTACAGAGTGGACAAAAACCCCACCACTTCAGTTTTATAGAGTGGACATAACTCCACACTT